ATATGACTACGCAATGGTACTGTTTAGTGTGCAATTGATGTAAGTGAAAATGGATCTACTGCAAACGGGTGAACAACTGCCTCCTGTTCCTGCTTGGACTTCGCGTGGCAAAAACAATGAACAGCAGCCAACAGCAACCGCTCGCAGTGACCGCCCAAACTTTGGCGCCCTTCAGGCTCTGTTTAACATAGAGCCTTTGACTTCTTCTGATGAGCACGGCACTGGAACAGTGGCTAACACTGCTGAACAACAACACCAAGAAGAAGAGGAGATCAACTTTGATGCAGTGGACAGAGAGACGCTGACGCAGTTCATCAACTCCTTCGACGCGGAGCAGTTCCGGAAGGCAACTCGATTTATAAGCGGCAAAGAGGGTGCATTTAAAAAGTGCGCCCTTCCCAAGAATGAGACCGGAAGTTGCAGTCAGGTGAAAGCATCTCCAAGTTTCAGCAACAACAACAGCTTCACTGAAGACTCCCTGAACCGCCTCATCCGCGAGTTGACCTACATGAGCGAGGAAGAGGAACTGGAGGCACTGAAGATGATGACGCAGCACAGACAGTGCTCACAGTTTCACTTTGACTTTGCCAGTCTGGGCTCAGACCAGAAGTGCGTAGAGCGCTTTCTGGCCAAGGCTCAGAAGAAGTTCCCGATCATCTTTGAGGGCCGTGGTGTGAAAGGAGGGCGACGTGGTGGGAAGGTGGCTCGTTTTGTGCGCATGATGCGTCGCTCGAAGAGCCGTCGCAGCTGGCAGCGTCTGGTGCTGCGTGCCCGCCTCTACCAGCAGTACTTTGTCAATCGCCTTTTCAACTCCGCCAATTGCATCATCACCTGCTGGCTGCTCTGCTTTTGTGCCAGTCTTTTTCACTGAATGATTTTTTCAGTTTATTTTTGCATTGTTGGCGTCATTAAATCTCGCTTTGTTTTCCCCGTTGCATTTTACTGCAGAAAACAGCTAATCTAGTTTTTATCTTTTTTTGCAATTTTTCATTCAATTACCTGACCAGGTGTCCACCTTTCTGCTGATGTACCGAGCCCACTGTCAGCGCATCCTCGACGCCATCGTACGGGCGAATTTTGAAGAGCTGAACACGCTGGTGTACCACTTTTGGCAGAAGATTCCCCACCACCTGGTGCCCGTCCTCTCCAGCCCTCTGCTGATCAACCTTCTCGGCATCTGCGACATTCGCCTCTATCGCACTATCATCAAGCTGATCTCCGTCACATTGGGCCAGCCGCTCACAGAAATGTAAGGAAGAGAGAAAGGGGTGAGCTAAATACCGTATTCAATCATTTTCTATTGTTTTGCAGAGCGTACACTCAACTGGAGAACTTTGTCTCCAGCCTGGACTCGGTGCTGGGCGCGGCGCTGCACAAGGAGAACGCCCTCCTGCAGCAGGTGAAATTGGAGCTGGCACGGCACTTTGGAGGCATAGTTCGCTGTCTGCTGCGACACAGTCGGGTGTACCATTCAGTGCAGGGCAGTGGCAATGGCGGCAGCAGTGCCCACTGTCAGGCGGCTCTGAAGCAGCTGTACCTCGACTGGAGCCGTCTTGATCTGTCTGCAGTGGCCGATCACCTCGTCGAGCAGTACGTACAGCTGTGCTGCAGAGGAAATGGAAGTGGTGGATTACAGACAGACCACGGATGTCTCAAGCGAGTACACCAGATTCTTTATCAACGTAAGTGTCGATAAAAGTTGCAATAAAGTGGCACCATAAGTTCATTGCTTCCTCTCGCAGACTGCGCCGAGTTCAAGCTGTTCCTCGCCACTTTCACCGACTACTCTCAGCTCTTTGACTGGTTCGAAAGCGTCTGGCAGGTGTCACTGCAGTGGTACCACTCCTGTGCTGTCTCGGCACATTCTCGGAAAAACACTACCTGGAGTGGACTGGAGTTTTCCCGATATTTTATCGTCCTTTGGACGTGTGCTCGTCTTCACATTGGCCAGGAGTTGAGTCGAATAAAGGCGCCCAGTGCAAGTAAGAGTTGAGTCTTTTTTTTCTTTTTTCCCACATACAATAGCACATTCACTGACTCGCACTTCACCTTTTCCCTTTCTCTTCGTCTGCAGACTTGTTCAGCACTCTAAGTGCACTGTTTGACGATTTTTGCGTGTACAAGGTTAAGGACCTCTACTTTGACGACTGCATCTCAATGCTCTTCAGCAATGCCGCACAGAATTCAAAGCCAACTTTGCCGCAATACTTTGAGCCCTTTGGTAAGTTGGTGCAATTTGAGCCTACTTACTCTCTACTTGGCATTTTCAAACAAGGTGTTAAACATTTATTTTTCTCAGACTTGATGAAGCAGACGGCCTCTTTTCTGGAGGAGTACGAGACGAGTACTGTTGCTGACGGTACTGGAGAACAGCAATGGTTGAACAGCAATAGTCAGCAGGGTGTCAGCAGAGTGGCAGGGTATCACGAAGTGTACAGCAACCTGCACTCCAATGCACTGTGGCTCAGCTACAGTGGACAACAGCAGCAATCGCAGGGCAGTTCAATGAACAGCAATTCAGCAGCGTCACAGCAGCATTATTCTGAATCTGGTCAGCAGTACAGCGGTGGTGGACTGCAGCAGAACAACTGCAGTTTTGCAGCCTCCTCCACCAACGCTCAGCAGGAGTATGCTTCAGCATCTGAACACCAACAGCAGCACCAGCCAAGATCTCACCGCCCAGACAGTTTAATTTGCTTTTCAATGAACTTTCACGCCAATTCCATTCAGGTGATGACCGCACCAAACACATCAACAGCATCATCTGCCCACACAAACAACGGTGGTAGTGGTGGCACCCATCGAGCGGAAGCAGTGGTCACTGAGGACGCTGAAGCAGCAGCAGCAGCAGGCAGTGGCGGACAGTTCAGCTCTGGCAGCAGCAGTGCCATCTCCACCGTCGACTCATCCTCTTCATCTTCATCCTCCTCCTCCTGTCGAATCATCAAATCGTGCTCATATCAGTCTCATTCATCCGATTGCAGTCCATGTGTGGATGCAGCCGTCGCCGTTTCTGTGGCTGCGAGCAATGCTTCGGGCAGTAGCAGCATCAGCAGCATCAACAGTACCTCTGCTGGCAGCAGCACTAGTCTGTACACTCTATGATCTCTCAGCATCTCTTTCTTTCTTTCTGTTTTTCGACCTACTCTTATGAGCTGAATGAACTAATGAATGTGTAGCAATCGTATCATGAGTTTGCAGCAGCAGTTTGACAATGCCTTCGTGCAGAAGCAGTACCACTGCAGTCTCGGAAAATCAGATATTGTCTCATACACTTCAGTCGCCAATCATCATCAGCGGCGGCTAATGTGCCGGTGGCGGTGTTCTAGCGTTCAACCCGAGCATAGTGAAACCTATGATGTCCAGTGTATTGGCAGTGAGATGGGGAAGGGAAAAACAAAAATGTCTCTGTCAGCTCAACTGTCTGCTGTTCTGTTCGTCGTCATTGTGCGCTTACTCACTCACTCACAGTCGCACACACACCTTGACCTACTTCCTGCGCCAGCCAGTCAGCCAGCATATCTTTTCTTCTGCCAATGGAGGAGATGTACAGATCGATGTCTGATTGCCCTTGATCGATGTGCTGTGTGTGTGTGTCTGTGCAGACGACAGCGAAAGTGAAACATTTTTTTCTGAAGAAAAAAAGAAAGACAGACAGACGAAACTTTTACTATGCTTATTATGACAAACGACAAACGTCAGTCAGACAGTCCTTCTCTTCTACTTTCTCTAATCTGCTAATTGATTAGCTGCTCTCTATGCACAGCAGGCACTAATATAATTAGTACTGGCCAACTCTGGATTGCCAACTCACCTTCTGCCATCATCCTCACCTTGGGCACCGACACCTCACCGACAGAAGGTTGTTGCCTACTTGTACTACTACTGTTCGACCCCGTTAGTGCAGTTATATAACATAATAATAATAATATTAATAAAAGCAAAAAGTACTTCTACTTTCACTTATACTACTTTCTCTCCCTCCTTCCCGCAATCCATTAATTGCATTAACATGCATGTCGATGATGTTTCTTCTTTTCTGGTTTTCTCACCGCTGACTTGACCTCGACAAAAGCAGGCAGACAACTGTTTGAATTGCATTAGCATAATAAAAGTTGAAGTTGCCGCAATGCGGTGGTGAATATGTGAGCAATTCGGTGTACATCTACTTCAGGAAGTTTCAGTGAGCAGGTGGGCGTGGAGNGCATGTCGATGATGTTTCTTCTTTTCTGGTTTTCTCACCGCTGACTTGACCTCGACAAAAGCAGGCAGACAACTGTTTGAATTGCATTAGCATAATAAAAGTTGAAATTGCCGCAATGCGGTGGTGAATATGTGAGCAATTCGGTGTACGTCTACTTCAGGAAGTTTCAGTGAGCAGGTGGGCGTGGAAGACTGTTGTTTATTGTCAATTGATAGAGAGAAAATACCTTGTATAAATAGTCATTAAACGCACAGAAGCATTGTGAGGAAGACAATTGAATTGGTAGTTAGGGAGAAGCTAAAACACAAAGAAAAAGGTAGAAAAAACAAAAAAATGATAAAGTAAAGGATTAATTAGAGTGATTGACAATACAACTAAAAAATTGTGCTAATTAGGGGTAATTAGAACATAGTGACTATATGAAGGACACACTTTGAGAAGAAGAAAGGGGCGTTTTGCTGTTCAATGTCAGCAAAATTAACCGTAAATCTTTGAAGCATTCGATGTCCAATTGACATTGAGACAATTACCACTGTCAGACTGTTTGCCCTTTGGACAGTAGCTTAGCCTCGGCAATGCTGCCCTCANAAAAAAATGATAAAGTAAAGGATTAATTAGAGTGATTGACAATACAACTAAAAAATTGTGCTAATTAGGGGTAATTAGAACATAGTGACTATATGAAGGACACACTTTGAGAAGAAGAAAGGGGCGTTTTGCTGTTCAATGTCAGCAAAATTAACCGTAAATCTTTGAAGCATTCGATGTCCAATTGACATTGAGACAATTACCACTGTCAGACTGTTTGCCCTTTGGACAGTAGCTTAGCCTCGGCAATGCTGCCCTCAAAGATCTTAAAGTACTTGTCCACTTCAGCCTGGGTAAAGCCAAACTTTGGAGCCATCTCACTGACGGAGGGGGCGTTGCGCACCTCCTCAAAATCGGTAAAATCAAAGTCACACTCTCCGCCCATGTACCGGAGAAGTGACTTTTCCGGAATGTACTTTTTCAGCTCGTCGACGGAGTTGCAGAAGCGGAAGGTCCTCTCGGTGCTACCGAGAAAGATCTTCGCCATGGACCACAACGGACGAAGCACCCTGGGCACGTTGTAGCAGATGGCGTACCGGAGCCCGTAGGGGTAGTAAGTCTGCAGGAGGGAGATGAGAAACTGCAAAAAATCAAAGTCTATGTTGATCATGCCCATGCCGGTGACGTCAAAGACGAAGACGTAGCCCTTGCGGCCGCTCTCCATGTCAATGTGATTGACGATGCCGGTGACGAACTGCTGGAAGAAGAGATTGAGCTGCTGAATCTTCCGGTACACCTTCACGCGCAGGTAGATGATCGGGCGGCCCTTGTAGTCATGACCGTGGGGAAAGATGGCCGCCGCCTTGGCGAACTCATTCGGAATGTCATTGACGTTGCGGTCGTGCAGGCCAAAGGACTTGCGCCACTTGAAAGCGCTGAGCATCTGCTTCAACGCCTTGTCCTCATTGCCGCGGTTCCACTTGATGAAGCGAAGCGTCCACCAGTCGTCCGCCTTCACCAGGTCAATGTCCTGCGGGTAGAAGCGTTCCGGATCTTTGGCGACCTTTTCGAGAAACTGCAGTCGCACGCGGTTCAGCTGTTCCAGCTCCTGTGGACTGGGAATGTTCTCATTGGAAATGCTGTCCATTGAGTTGTTGTTGGCGTCCATTCTTTTTGTTGTTGTTGCTGTTGTTGATGGCAAAACTTGTAACACGAGGCTGCAAGGCACGGCAACTACGGCTCACTTTTGCTAAAAGGGCAAATTCAGTGGTGATCTTTAAGGCGATAGTGAAAGTGCTCTGATGAAACGTTTAGATAAAATCACGGCTTGAATTTGGTGACAGTGGCAAAGTTTAAGATGTTTGTTGTTGTCAGGTGCTGAAGGCTTCAAGTAAAGATGAAGATCAGTGAAAAGGTGAAAATATCATTGACAACGGGCAACGTCAGTACGGCACACTTCAACTAGTGAAGACTGATCTGAGTTGTAGAAAGCTCAATATAAATAGCAAGTGTGCTCACTGATCATCAAAAGAGGCGGTCAAAGATCAACAGGTGTCTACTGCTACTGTTGCAGATCACTGCAGTGATGTTGCTGATAATAGTAGTGGTGGAGGCGGTGGTGGTGATAGATATGATGATTACGATGCTAGTGGCGGTGGGGCCTCCCCAGTAGTGTCAGATAGTGCCTAGGGTTTCTTTGTTTTGTCTACATCGACAAGCAAAAAAACAAATCTGTCTCTCTTTCTGACACACAGACGAATCGGTGCACTTTTTCACTCACTCACTTACTCACACACACTTTTCTTGCCTTAAGCTGAAGTCTGATCCAGCAAAAATGGTATCAGCAACAACAACAGAAGCAGATAGCAGGAGTGAGTCACTACTCTGACATTAGAGGACGATGAGGCGCAATGTGTTGCATGTTCTGCTGAGCAGGCTCAACCGTGTTCAGTGTCGAAAGACATTGCCATGATGCTGGTCGTCGTCGTGGTTGCTGTAGTTCTTCTCTTCCCTGCCTTTTGCTGCTGCTGCTGAACCTTGCCGTCTCTTGTTGTTTCTTGTGGTCTCTTGAATCGATACAGGGAGAGAGAGTAGAAGTGGCACAGATGCTGCTGTTGCCCACTGCTGTAGTCCAGGTTGTCTGCCAGTCTCCTCGCTTTCCTTTGCCTGTTCCCTTCCTAGCTTTTCTGTTCTGTTCTGTTCTGTTCTGTCCACCTGACCATCGCATCACACTGTGTGCAGAAAAGCAAAGTTTGCAGGCACCGTTACATCAGTGTTGCAGCACTACAATGTGCAAACCATCAGGCGATTTTAGGAAGAGGAGAGAAGAGAAAGAAGGAGCTAAAATCAGACATGTGGACTTTTGGAGTTCAAGTCAATGCAAGCAAGCGAGAGAGAGAGAGAGAGACCACTTATTGCTATTGCAAAGGGCATTCAGAGAGACAGGAGAGAAAGTGAAAGTGAAGGCAAGAGTGAAAGAGCATTTAGAAAAAAAGAAGAGAAAAATAACAGTGAACAGCATTAGTGATATAACATACGCGTCTTCGAGACGCCTTCAGTATCGTATACAAGCACTGCAGCAGCACTTTAGCCAGGCAGTAATCACCGTCGCTTGAATTGGTCCAAAGTCAAAGTCAAGTGAGTCGGCGATTGAGTGGAGTTGCCATTGAATGCATCTCTCTGATTGGATGAGGAGGATAGCCAAAACAGTGATTGCCTTAATAGTCACTTCCCAAGCGCTGGCATTACAAATTTCCTCTTTAGTGGACATGATTATAATTACTCGATCAGCATCGACAGGATTAAAAGCAGCAGCAGTCGGTGAACGCTCGTAGTCACACAAAGGCAATGTGCACAGTAGTCCATTACTCTTTGGCACTTTTAATTAAGTTTATGCTTATGCCAGTGTTTTACCTTCAAACTTGTAACTCTTGTACATCTATTGGATAATTAATGTCTATCAATTGTCCTTCCTCTCAAGTCACTGGTGTAGCAAAGTGTGCATCTTGCACTTAGTTGGGAAATATTCGCCTCCTCTAGCAAAAACGAAAATGGCAATCAGATAATTTGGAGGAATAGTTTTTTAATTGCCATTTAGATGATTGTTTAATAATTGACTAGGTGCCACTTAGGTTTGCAGGGCAATGTGCTACTTGTTGGTTACTTTTTTTAAAGCAACACAAAGGCAAAACCACAAAAACAAAACAGCCAAATTAATGTCATCACAAATCAGCTGGATATCGATATGAATGAACATGAAGCAGGCATTACGTGAAATGAGTGACAGCGACGAGGTCAGTTATTTGTCAATCACCTCACATTCACGGGGAGACAGAAAGACAGTCAAACAGACAGTATCATTTCCTCCTTTTTGATGTTATCTAAACCATAACGATATCGATCTTTTTCAATGGCAGTTTAATAAAGCAATTAAAAAGTTTTAATGAGCAATAGAAACAATCGCAATTTTTTGACAATGCCTTAGAGCTATCTTTCATGAATGACACAAGTGTCAAACTTTTAATCAATCAAAAACAGTTATCAGTAAACACCTAACAACTAGCGTTACCTTTTCATTCATTTAAAGGAACCTTAAAAATAACCTTTTGATTGTCAAGGTTTTTTAGTCATTTTTTAGTCAGAGAAAATCTCAGTAGTTTTTTAGCTTTCCAAACGACATTTCATCGGCTGAGCAAGTCTCTGCATCAACAAGTGAATGTAAACAGTGTTATGCAATGATGAACGATTTCACGGAAGACAATCATTGCCTGGCAGTCGAGCGAACGAAAAAGAGAAAGAAAGAACAAGCATGAGCAAGCCAATTAATCGGCCGGCACGATTGTCCGGTTCAGGAGGATTGGAGGGAAATACACTGGCTTGCTGAAACTTGGAAAACACACACGCACACTTACGCACTGAGTAATGAGTCGATAATCGAAGCAAAGCTGTGAGCGAAGAGCACGGAAGCACCCAAGCTGCTTCGCGACTTTGTTACCAAACATGATGGCCATGTGGGGAAATTTGACTAGAGCGTCAAACTGTTCAAAAAAGTAAAAAAGTGAGGACATTTAGATGCGAAAAATTCAACAGCAGCAAACAAAAGTGACCAGTCAAGAAAGGACATTTTTGTTTGCTTGCACTTAACACGTGTTTAGTAAAATAACGAAAAAGTGTCTACTTGCTTTCTCTCAAACAATTTGGTGAACAGCGAGAAACACACTTTTAGGTCATTTTGGCCATATTTACCTAGTTCACACTGCTGCGCAAGGAATTCGCTTTTTATTGGCTACTTTTTATAATGGATGTTTTTTCCCAATGTTTTTTGTCAAAATGTTACCTTACGCTAAAAGGTCGC